CATTGGGTCCAACTTCCCAAATACGGAGGGTTTAGGTACCAAAGACCATTCGGATTATGGTATTTGGGGCTCACAACTCCATATTTGGGCGCTTGGATCCTTACGCTGGATCATGCTTCCTGAAGGTGTGTTGCTGCGGCTGGAAGTTTTGTTAAGGGTTTCTGCCCCAACAAGGTTGTGTCAAGGGCGGGAAGTTATGTTCGATTCACACCACCCTCCCTACTGCATCGAACAGCGCGAAACAGGTTGGGACTCAGGACCCCCAGAGCCCACAAGTTGCACGACCGATAAAGCGAGAACCACACAACCAAAATCGTTACCCCTTGAGAAGGAACGGACACCGCAACTCTCCACACTTGAAGCCTTGCAGAAACCCCAAGGATCATCGTCCAAGCAGCATAGCCCAAATCAACATGTCCTCAAGCCTAAAGCCACAAAACCACATCCTTGCGGATGTGTGCAGTTCGGTCTGGCAGCAGCTTCGCATTCTCTGCGTCCGACGGCATTTTGAGAACTTTCCAACGGCGCAAGGCCCGCAAGTCTCTGGTTGAGGGTTGGGGGCTACAAGCCCTGACCTGCCTAAACCTTGTTTCCAGCAGTTTGGGAATCTTGGGCTTCGAGTGCAGTGGCCCGGGATTCAGCTGTGGGTTTGTGTCTTGCATTTTTGCGTCTTAGGGCTCAGCGTTTAGTCTGGCTTCTCTTCCTAAGCTGTACAAGGACGTAGTTGCAAGAGCACTTGATTGCCTGCTCTACGCCGCTAGTCTGACTCTCATTGTGTAAATCCACTCCGAGTTGTCTTGTCTGGGCTATGTTGCGTGCAGACTGGCACTGCACCCTCGACCCCTATGCTCGCCGTGGGTGGTCTTGTCTGGGGATGCTAGGGCAGAGGGAGTCTATTTGCAGGGTAAGGGAAATGCAAAGCTATAAAAAGGTAAAGTCCTACCTTCTCCTGGAATTACTATTGAATACTGACACCTGCATTTAGGCGTGTGCCTACCTATAATAGTCATCTATTTTCGCATCACAGCTACAATCTTCCTCTCGGGCTTTAGGGTGAGGGGCAAGGGGAAGGGGGGGGGGGGAAGAAAAGACTCAAGCCGGCGGCCCTTGAACCATGCGGCTGCAGGCAACAGCTATGAGGTTGGAGCTTTGGACTTTCAGACTTACTGGTGGTTAGTAGGGAATAAAGGAATATGTCAAATAGGGATGATACCCCTTTCTTCCCTACTAACCACCAGTAAGCGGAGTCCCATGCGATAGTGGGAGGGTTGAGAGGCACCACTCCGGGCAGCGCCAGCCTCGACTATAAGCCTTTTGCTCGCCGCTAAACCCAATGTTTATGGGGTCCTAGCCTGTCCTAGCCTGGAGACGAGGCTGTGAGTTGAGATGCAAAGGCGCTCATCACCAGAGACCCTTCCACTTCTATGTACTGGGATTCAACTGCTACACCGAGGGATAACAAGTCTTTCCATTTCGATGGGGAAAGGTCTCCCGGAAAATTTGCAGTGTGGGTAAAGGGTTTGGGCAATTCGGGGCCTTGACTTGATCCATAGGCAATTACAGTCCCAAACCCCGAACCCTAAACCCAAACCCCAACCAACACAGAAACTGGGAAAACCTCTAAACCCTTAAACCTGAACCCTGAAACCTGTGCACGTTCTGTACTCCACCGTTGCCGACCTTGCTCAAGGTGTTGAGCACCGGTGACAGAACAGCCTGACGCATGTGGTACCCTCGGTTGAAGAACCCTGGGATAAATCCCCTCCCCGTCAGAACCCTAAACGCTAAACCCTAAAACCCTAAAACCCTAGGACCCTAAACCCTAAACCCCAATTCCCAAACCCTAAACCCTTAACCCCTAAACCCTAAACCCATGGCATCGTGAAAGTTGAATTTGCGCGGTTGGTTTAAGCCAGTAACCCTAAGGCTCTAGAGACTCATAATATAAGGATTTTGGGCCCAAAGACCATACTGTACAAGGCTTTTGGGGTATTTTAAGTTAGGGTAATACATGTTCTTTAATGGGAGAGGTGGCGGGAGGTCATTCCTAGGCGGAGGCAACATTGAAATCAACCACTGGTGAAGGATTGCTACAATCTATCCAGGCGCAGTTCTTGGGAATAAGTATCTCGCCTGCTTCCACTAAACCCCACTGCCACTTAGCTTTCTCCCTACTTGGAGGGTCAGGGGAACTCAGTAAGTAGGTTAATAACCCCTATAAGCCACATAGCAACCCTAGTTGTCCCCATTATTGACCTATGTACTGAGTACCCCTGACCCTGCAAGTAGTAGCTGAATAATGTCGGGCTCAGTGCTGCTCCCACCCAGATCTCAGCCAACCTGAAGCCTCCAAGTCTTTCTGCAAAACTCCGGTTCCCGATCATCAAAACACCCCAAACCCTTTATCTACCACACATACCCTGCAGTCATGTGGCCCTGTCAGAACCTGTCTTACCCCATCCCATCGCTGTTCTCCATATATGGTAGCTGGTAGCACAAGAAAACTTTAATCTCAGTTTTTCAAGTGTGGGGGAGATCAGTGCCATTGCGAGGGCATGGCATCTGGCATCTTCTCAGGCAGCTAAGCCACGCGGAGGGAGGCTTTCCATGCATTTTCTACAATCGCACGCTAAAGAAATGCATGTTGAACCACTAGAGCTATCTGGAAAGGGAACTATGAAGGATCATGGGTTGCAATTTGGCTATGACGCATGTGTTTACCTGTGATTCAGCAACCCCAGTCCTGATAGGCCAGCTGGCCAGGCCTAAAAGCCCACCTTGTCCTCCAGTAAACTACGCGCAGCGAGGTGTAGCAGTGTCTTAGTGTGGACCAATATTGCACCGAGAGCCCAAAAAAACACAAGAGCACATTGATAAAACTTCGCAGACACAGTTCCAACAACACCCACCACCCCAACACCATGAAACAGGTGCCTGAACCCGTCAAGTTGGTACGACCATCTGTGCTGCGCGGTTCATGCCTTGTACATCTTGACGCCTGCACCGCTGGCCTCGTCGGTAGAAATTGTTGATTCTCAACAATGACCAGACGAAGAGCAGCAGCAAAAATGATAACAACAGCAACTCACTTGCAAGAAACGACTTGATGCATAAGCTGCCGATTTAGCTGCAACACTTAATCAACCAGCCATCTTGATGTATGTTGTTGAGCCTTTTAAGCTAGAAACCATAACAAGAACATCAAGGAGAAAACGTAATAAGGGGCGCCGAGAGCGCAGCCTGCGTCACAAGGATACCCCCAGGGTTCAGCTTGGTTTTGCACATCTCGTAGAACTCCTGCAACAAACTGGATTGCTGGTAAGGAACTCAAGTTAAGCTATGATACTACAAGTATGATAACTTAGTGTAAGCTTAAGCTCCTTATAACTGCAACCCAGCAAAAGAGACAAGGTAGGATCCAATGCTCCAAGCTTGGGCTTCGAGGTCAGAAGGTTCCAGCATTTTGTGGTTGCACGGATGCTCTTAGAACCCCAAACTCAACCAACCAAGCGAAAGGCTTGAGGGGTCATGCGCGCGTGGTGGTACATGCATAGCCTTGGAGTCAGCCCCAGGGGATATCTCTTGCAACTCGGGGTGCTGCTTGGGCCGGGTTTAGGGTTTAGGGTTGCCCATAAACATCATTCGCAACTCGGCCTCTTCACAGGAAAGTCTGAGGATACAGTATGCGAGCACAAGTTGAAACCCTCAACTGTGTTGCTGTTAAGGAACTTAAATACAGTTACCATCATGGGTATGCACAGTATATTTTTCCATTCTAGTAACTCTTATTAATTTCCTCAACAGCAACCCAGATAAACCCTCAATGCCATCGCAAACATCACAAATGACCGTTCAGCCACTCCTGCGGTGATATAGGAACAGGGTGTAGAGGAATGTTTCCAATAATGGAAACTGAATTGGAACATTAAGTTGGAGCTACTACATTGTTTAAGGTTGGAGGTTTAGGGTTTAGAGCCCAAGTTTTTGTGCTGTGGGTTTAGGAATTGCGGCTTAGGTTTTGGGATTTATAGCTGCGTGTTCGGGATATAGGGCTTTATTGCTTGACATTATTATAGCTAAGCAATGGGGCGGCAAGAATGAATAATAATCATAACGGTCCTGTCGGGGGAAATACGTGATTCGATCATGGTTTCTCGGCGCCATCATCTGCCTATTGCTTTTAAAGCCCTAAACCCCTAAACCTAAACCTTTCTGCGACCTTTGTACCGTGGTGGACTCAAACCATGTGCAAGCTGAATACAGGGCTCCAGCGAGTGCAATGACCTGGACAAGTAGAGAAGAGTTTTTGGGTATAGTGCGCTACAGAAAATTCATGTTGTAACTGGATTTCAGGGGATAGAGTTTTCAAGCTTCCACATTTGCCATTGCCAGGACTTGTTGCGCGAGGCCGCATGTCTTTCCTACTCCATATGTTACATAAGAAAGACTCTATGAAGATTTGATTCGCAGCATTGGTAGGATCTTCAATTAAAGGAGCTGGGAAATGTCGTCAAAGTCATGGACACCATCCCGCTTGAGCCACAGTAGATGCTACTGCCATAAGTCCTCTAGGATTTCGGCATATGGGACCGTTGAGGAGTTTGTGCATCATGTGTGTGCCTCTTGTGACAACTTCTGTGCAGATTGGCCGGTGAGGCAGCATTGCTTTTCAAGTACCCGACGAGTCCCGTAGTATATACTTGGTTAGGCACCCTTCAAGCGCAAGAAAAGGTTTATACCGAGACACGCTAGAATACCAATAGATGCTCACATGAACTCATGATGGAAAAGCTCATATGACTCCGGTGATTGCTAACCCCACAAAAGTTTAAGGGTTTCAGGGTTGAGGGCTGAGAATTCGCAGAGGAAAACCTTTGCCAACGCCAAACCTAACAACCTAGAAGCTCGAACGTGAGTTTATAAGGCTCAGTTAGTAAGTTGAAGGAGACTGGATCCCCGGTCCCCACGTAATCCCCTGGGGTCAGGAAGTAGTTGAAGGCCTGGCAGTAGAGCCAATAGCAAGGGCCGCCCTCCAGAGGATCATCCAGATCCATGATGATCACCTCCGTGCTGTTCTTCTACAGGAAGGTAAAAAAGGCTTCGCGCATTTTAGCATGTCTAGAACTTTGTCTCCAGATGTTCTTCATGGGGGGCTTCCTATCATTCTCGTGTTCCTGAGGCGTTGGGGGCTAGCCGGCCCGTGGGCCCCACAATCATGGCTGCTAATCGGCAACGACCGGGTCTCTATAGCTGTTTCCCTATTGGAAGCATGGACTAATGTCTAGAAATGACCCGGACAAGTCATGCTTTGTACAACCTTTTAACCTAAGTTCATGAATACTGCGGCCAAGCCGCGTCGAACTTCTCCTGAGCTGCGCAGGTATGCTCTCACCACCCCGCAGACAGGGCGCGTGCCAACTTGGATCCAGATGCATGCCCTCCATGCAAACATATATACAAACCAGTGCCTCAGAAAGCCATGACCGTGTGACTCATGACGAAGGTGAAGTTGCAGTACAGAAAGAGGACGCAGAGCGCTGAAAGGGGCGAACAAATGCGTGCCTCCTAACCTCCTTGAAGGTCTTTGTGCAGTGTAAATCATAAGGTTGCGTTGAAGAAGGGGAATTATGCCAAGCTAATCTTACCTCATACTAGGCTCTATCCTTGCCCTAGGGATCGAAGTATCCACACAGGAGGCACTTGGGTCCAAAGTAATTCGAATGGGGATTTAATGAAGCCATGTGAGCTATAGTCTGCACTCCTAGTGTCCCCCTGAAAAATCCCTAAAATATTTAGACGAAAGCTCATGTGAGTACTTGAACACTTAGGGCTGTAAGGGGTCCAGAAGCATGTAAACTGCGGCGTGTTAGCTGCTAGGAACCTGCAACCTGCCTTCGTGACTTTTAAAGGTATGACGTCCTCACGTCCCTTGACCCTAACCTCCCAAACCATTAACGCATGAAGAACCCGCGGCTGAAGCGAAAAAGCTGAACATGCCCCGTATCATCATCGTGGCAGTCCATTGGGAACAGAACAAGCAAATAAAAACGCCTAGATAAGACAAAAACAAATCAGAACCGCCCCCCTAGCAAAAGCCTCAAAACTGAATCTCCCTAGGCACTCAGAACCCTGAACCTCTAAACCCTAGACCCCTCAACCCAAGACCCTTAACTAATCAGCCGGGCCACTTTTGCCTGTTCCAGCTGCACCTGCTGGTTCACAATGAGGCGGGTACTTTGCATGTTTGGGAGCACTACAGGGTTTAGGGTGTAGGTTTTTTTGTTTGTGGGACCATTTCTCCAAGGCACGAGTACCCAAAGATGCCATGGGTGTATGGTTTAAGATTTAAAGTTTTGGGAGCACTATGGGTTAGGTGGACCCCTCACCCTGTAATAGTGATACAATTGCAAGTCGAGTGTAGAGTTTAGGATTTAGGGTTTGAAGCCTGGAAGTGGGTGGATGTGCTTCCCTCTCCCTTGAGGTCTCAGGGGAGGGGGATATTGATAGTTGCGGGTTAGTATTGCTTGGAGAGCCTGGGGGACTTAGTAAGTAGGTTAATAATCCCTATAAGCCATACAATAACCCCAGTCATCCCCATTAGCATAGTTACTAAGTCCCCTTGACCCTCCAAGTGGGCACTACGGGCACTTGACATGGGGCTATGTAGGCATACAAAGGATTGCGCAAAGTCCCTGCAACAAGCCCTCTCTGGGGTAAATCTCTGTGCACCTTCCCCGCAGGCAAATATATAAATGTATAAGCGCCGAGCCCAAGCCATAAACCCTGAGCGCAAAACCCAACCCCTAAGCCTGGCAGCCCCGCTAAATCCCAAACCCTCCGCCTTAGATTTGTCGCCGACCCTCAGCCCCATCCGCAGCCCCATCGAAGTTCCCTGAAGCTCCTTCTTCAGCCCCTAAGCCCTAAACCCTGAAACGAAAAAGTTGGGCCTTGCAATCATCGATGATGAGCTCCAGCCTTGGGTCAGCGAACGCCTCCTTATTGGCTGGCAAATGCTCCTGGCTGCAGCTCAGATGCTGGAAGTTGGATGGTTTGGGGCTTAGGGTTTCAAATCCTGGTTCACGGCTTAGCGCCTTCGATTTCGTTTAGGGTGTAGGGTCTTGAGTTTCGGCTTCGGGCCGAGCATTTTGACTTTAGGTTCAGGCTTCGGGGGTTGTAGGCTTCCAAGACCTGGACAAAGGCCCTGTTGGGATAAACATCCATATGCAATCCATATATATATATATATGTATATATGAGTAATGGTAATCTGCCCAGTGAGTCTACAGTGTGGATTAAAGGACTGGGGAGTCAGGCTAAGGTTGAGGGTCTAGGGCTTTAAAAGAGTTGTGGTCTGCAGGGTTTAGGGCGAGTTGAGGTGACAGCGCCATGTGGCAGTTGAGGAAAGGGTCCTTACCTGCGCTCCATACTCTAGACGCCGCGGCACCTTGCAGAAGTTCACCACATCGCCATCAATATCGACCATGACCTTGGGCGCATCAGGAATGAACAAACCAACAAAGATGATGTTGGAATTGCCTTCGTCAACTTTGTGTTGGAAGAACCTACTGTTATTTCTGGGGCGGGGCCAGAATCACATGCTCGACAGGATCTAAAGACAAATACATATCAAACAGACACACTTGTCTTTGCTCGCCACTTGGACTATTTAAGCCAGGGTGGATAGGAGACGCATCTAAACTGAGACCATCCAAACCACCACGAATTTCTGCGCAAGGGAGCGAAACGAACTTGACTAGGGCAAACTTTTCAAATTGCTCATTATCATAATAAGATTCCCGTATACGCAAATTCTATGTACTGAAGGGCGACTATCCATTGGAGAGTTAATGTCATACCTTGCCAGCAGGAGCTCCTCCCAAAAGCTGATGCCCAAAAGGAAGCGTACGATCCCGACCGAAAAGAAGCTCCACCCCAAAAAGGTCCATGGTGATCGCACTATACAGCAACTTCTGCTCTGGGCTCTTTTTAGCCAGTCACCTTCCTGCTACTCCAAAACTCTAGATATTTCACACTTATCACCCCACCCTTATCTATGTTTTGGCGGAAGCCTTGTAGCAGAAGCACGTTGCCCTACACGACTGTTATCACATTTGCAGCCAGCGAACGCACTTCTCCACAGAGCGGTGGCGCAGGACCTTTCCCAAACAATAAAGACCTTTTCTGGAGGACAGTACCCCCCCACATGCAATCAGTGCGAGTGTCATAGCTAACCTCTAGATGTGCGAATACAAGCAGTACAGGTGTCATCAAAGGGGTTGGGTGCTCACCCTACAGCATATGGCGGGACTGTGTTTGCTGATTGAATCGGCTCATGCGAATATGATGTTTGGGGGGCCTCCAACCGGTTTAAGCACAAAGCCTGACAAGAAGGTGCCGACGCTGAGCGGCCTCTCAACTTACACGCACTTGTTCGCGTTCCTCATAGAAAGGCTGCAAGCCCTGCCTGAAGGGGAATGACACATGCTATGCCGATTCTGGGTCTGAGGCTGGGGGATGGAAGCATCTCAGGTTGCCTCAGTAACTCGAGAAGTTCAATCGCGACGAAGGCTCTAGCCTTGAAAAAGCCCAGGTGTGAGCCCCAAATCCAAACCTGCCAGTCAAGCTTTGAATAATGGGTGGTTACACTACACTCTTCTGTCGCTATGGCTCCAACCTTTTGGTTTGCAAACTCTTCTGGCCGGCTTGAACAGTGACAACTCGGATGTCTTGAGCAGGCTAGTGAAGCTGGATGACTTGCGCAAGGGCTGCATCGTCCGGGCGTTCATCCCGGCCTGGGCTTCTCAAGCAACTGCTTCAGGCCCGTATCCAGCTTCTGGCTCAAGGCAGTTGTTTCTACTCCTGTGTTTCCGAACTCGGCAAGCGCCGACCTTGCAGCTTGCAGCCTGGCCTCCGGCTTGTTGCTCAGATGTTGAGCCAGTTGGGATACAGTTCGCAAGCCATAGGTCTCTTCCTTGCTGAAGGCCAGCACCGAAGCGAGGAAAAGCTCGGAGAACATCTTGTCAGGTTGGATGCCGTTGTCTTTCATCATCTGGTACACATCTAAGACGACTTCCAGTGGAGCTGTTGCATATGCGCCAACCAAGCAAGTGAACATCGGAGCCTCTGCTTCCAAACCAAGGTCTCGTGAAACATTGAAAAGGTATTGCGCGGCACGCCAGCTTTGCCCCTCGGCTTGCCAGCAAGCCCGGATGGCAGATGTTATATGCGCTATGTTTATCTCAACGCCAGACTTGTTCATGGAGTCAAGAACTTCTGCAGCGGTCTGTATGTCTCCTTCCATCGCTGCTGCATGGATGCGTGATGCCGCCATGACCTCATCTAACTCCAGCATGTCAGTAGCTTCCCGCCAAACCTCCCTGACTACGCTGGTTTGACCAAGTTCTGCAAAAATCCTCAGGGCAGCAGAAAAAGTGGGTGAGGACTTCGTCACATTCAGATTGCAAAGCCGTTGGTAGACAGAGGCGCCCTGCTTGAATTGCCCACATCGGATCGCGATGTGCATCACTGCATTGAAGGTTGAGGTTTCGCTGCCGCTGTAGGCCAGATAGAGCCGGTTCACCTTCATCCAATCACCGCTTTCACCAGCTTCTACAATTTGCGACAGAAGTCGTTGGCCTTCAAAGCTTAACGGGTCCTGCACTTTCTTAGCTGAGGTCTTCAGCAAATTCCCATCGCGCTCGCGGATGGATCTTGCCGACTCTTGACGGCCTATGCCAAAGCTGGCAGGAAAGCCAGCGAAAAGCAACAAAAACGGACATGCCCATTTCAGACTGGATGTGCGGGTAATGCGGCCTGCTGCCCTGTTCATCTATGGCACAGTGGAAGCGGCATTGCAACTGTCCGTTCTGTCACCGGGGAGGTTCCCTTTTCTTTGATTCTGAGAATTCTGCTCCGCTCTCGTATCCTAGTCCTAGCTTCTACTATCATTACCACGCACCAGCTACCCCATACAAGCCTGCAGATTTGTCAATTCCATATGTGCGCAGTGAATGGCAGGATAAAACATTATGTTACAAATTGGGGGTGCAGATCGTGATTGCAAAGCGGCAGGTCTCCAACTGAAGCCTATCTGAGCAGGTGTTGTCGCAAAAACTCTTAGCACATGTTGGGTGTTTATGTCCAGCCAGATTTAAAATCCCTCCTCGCCGGCATGCATCGAAACGCGGGAAAGACTCGGGTACCGCATAGCGAGGGTTCAAGTCCACTATGATATGCAAGTAAGGACAGGTTGCAGGCAACGAAACAAATCTATGCGAGGTGCCAAAATAAGCAGAGGGTGCCTGAACTTATCTAGGTTGCCAGCCGGAGCCTCCAAATGATTTCGATATACATTGAATGCTGCAGCCCGTTAGCTTTCAACACTCCCTACCTGGCCAGATCACCACATCCAATTCATCTCCATATCAGTGGCACTTTCTCCAAGAACCCTTAATTTGAGTCGGCGGCCGTTAAATCCAACATGGAAAAACACCAAGCTCAAAAGATCTGCCCTTGGAACCAAATCTTAACCCTACTCAGCACATTGCACATCCGCAAACCCCAAACCCCAAAAACACGATCAAACAGCATACTACCTGCCTCACGCGCTGTGGATCCCTCGCCGCCACCACCTGCAAGTAAACACAAGCCTATTCAGTCATTACTGCTGCTACGGTTTCGAGGGAGTCAGGGTTCGTGCGCTTTTCATGTCGACTTGGATTGTTCCAATGAAGTTTTGCGATTGCATGTACGTGTGCACTGGATGCGTGACCACAATCACTTGCCAACTCTTGCCAATGTGTCTTTTTGTGACTAATACAGAGCACACGACTCTTAGTTCTATATACCTCTCGTTCTATATACCATACAGCAGTCGCACTTCTCGCTGTATGGGTGCTCAGCAGTCTTAGGTTCTGCAAGAGGGGCTTAATTGCTGGGAGATGGTGGATATACACTTCGCAGAAGGTCTTTGGCGGGGCTTGGAGGAGGATGCCGGCCGAGTTTCAGGGGACTACTTGGAGGGTCAGAGGGACATAGTAAGAGGTTAATAATCCGAAAAGGCAATACAATATTCCTGTTTTCCCCATTATAAACCTGCTTACCAAGTACTATAGGATTCTCTTTCGGCTTCTACGAAATTAGCGGGGGTGCAGCTCTCTTCAAGAGGATCATTGCCAAACAGACACCCAGCTCTTTGACATAACTGGTTCCCATCTATACTATCCACTACTTCATATGAGCCACTGTCTAAACTCCTAGTATCCCCCTTAGTAACCCCCATAATAGTCCCCTATAGAATCCCCTATATAAGCCCCTTTAAGGACTTTAGACTATAGTACATATAACGACTGAGACTCTGGGGGATGCTTGCAGCCAGTTTTGCAAATGCCAGGGCGGCCAAGGAGCCAATAAAAACCTTGGCTGTTCTTGGCTGTCAAATGCATCTGCAGCGCAAAGCTCTGAATAGCCTACTGACTTTGACAGGCAGCCCCCAAGGGCCCAGGGGACCAACAGATTTGAAAGAACTTCTGTACAGCCGAGCCCTTCATGTAAAGGTTCTCTGTCGACTGAAACTGTTGGACAAGCTGTGACCGCGTTTGAACTTTGGCGAAGGGTCCATGTCTTCAACACGGAGTAGGTTGGGGCATTCAGAAGGCAGTGTTATTCAAGTCCATTTGCAGGTGTGCACTCTTGTCGACCTCTAAACGTCTGCTGGCCCAGGATGATGACATCAAGTAAATTCCAGGAAAAGGCAGCGCTTCTAGTTTAAGTGGTTCCAGCTTCTCTGCGCCCAGACACTCGCTTGGCTCCAGTAGGGTGTGCGAGCATTGCCGGGTGCACTAAGCACCTCAGAGCAACGCGTCTCGGGAAACACGGTTCAATCGGATGCTCAAGTCATGTGTCCTGGCAGACGCTGCACAAAGTTGTTGTTTTGAATGGGGGCTCCCATCAGGTCCACCCAAACTCTGTCTTTCCCAGGAACCTGTTGGCACTACCAACCATGAAATGCCAACTGTTCAGCGCGTTTGGGTTGTCTTTGCGTCGAGCTTCCCACCCGCATGAACCGAACACCAAACAGATGGGCACGTAATGGGACAGGTGTTAACTTGAGGTGCATGAGCGACATTCTTCTTTGAGTAACTAAACACAACATGGCGTAGCCATGAAGATGGGCGAACGGTTCCTGCACAAGTGCATACCTGAAAATGCATGCAGCACCCATTGATGCTGGAGCAAGCTCAGGAATCATAAGCCCAAAGCCGAGGGCATGCTTCACTTGCCCTCCTCCAACCCATAGTGCTCATTCCGACTCACTCCTTTCAAATTCTCGACCGGGATACGACATATTCCCCTCTTGTATTATTTCTGTTCTGGTGGAAATATTTTACTTTAGAGGGCGGCGGGGTGCATCATTGGGGGGATGTGAGTACACAAACTACAAGCTGAGGGGATGGTGCAAGGCGCTCGTGGTAGATGAACTCATCAAGCTCCGCGGACTGGGAAAGGGTTCAGTTTTAGGATTTAAGGTTTGAGGGTTGTGTGTTCAGGGTTTAAGAACTCGTCTTGAGAGTTTAGGGCTTCTGCTTGTGTGTTGGGAGTTAAAAGCCCTCAGGTGTCCGGGCTTATTTGGGGCCTAAGACTCCCCGAATCCTTGACGCTGGTGCGAAGCCTGCTGAAGGAAGGACGTCTTACAGGTAGTCCCTAACATAATTTCAGAAGCTGACCTAGCAAAGGCTTCACAATTCCGCCTGAAGCAAAGTACTCGCCCTGCCTAATATGACGCCCCCACCCCCAAAAACTGAATATTCCCTAGGAGAGATTGCACCTAATGGGGAACGTATTGGATGTTGGGAGGTCTGTGATAAACAAGACGTGGAGCCCAGTCTGAACTTCAGGTTTTCATACATCAAAGTAAGCATCGGTGTAATGTATCAGGGAGGAATCTGAAGAAGGTGGTTGTTGAGGCTTGTGTTCCTGGCCTAGGTGATTCCCTACATTGCTGTAGCAATGACACCTGGAGATCCCATATGCAGTGGGCAAGGGCTTAGATAATTTGGTTTGGGCTTTGCGGTGTATCTGCAGTGTTTGTGAACTGAGTTCTAGAAGGACGACAAGAGCGCCAAAGGGATGTCTTAACTAAGAATCATGGAATCATCTCCCAGCACGTGCAGGGGGCTTGCGTCCCATGACTGCTCTGGGTTTTGGTCTGTTTGGAAAACTCGTAGAGGAGCCACTGAGAACTTAGCTTTTCAAGAGCCCTTGATACAGCTAAAGTGGCTCTGTGCTGCCCAAAGCGCTTCATGAAGACCCCTCCGAAGCAGCGCTCGCAGTTTACAACTTACAGTACCCGGACCCTTAAAGTAGATTGTCAAGTTGCCCAAAATCCAAGAAGAGAAACAAAAACACACGTCACTTCCTGCTCATAGTTTGCCAGTTGGGCGCAAATCCCGCAATTCCCTTCTGAAGGGCTTAGGTAGGGCTCGGGGTGTAGGATTTAGGGCTTTGGAACTTGGGGTTTATGGGGTTTTGGGTGCGTCTTCGCGCACGTCTGATGCTCCATGCATGGACGGCGCCACTCCACCCTCCCAAGTTTCTGGGCAGCGGCACAAGTTGCACTGGGCAACATTCGCTCGGTGTTGGCAAAGCATCCGTCGAAACTGGAAGTTCTCAACACTCGCACCCCCTGCAAGGACGAAGATATCACGGGCCACGCCCAAAACCATCACGTCTTAGGGCTGGCGCCTTCAATTCCCACCCGCTGGGCGCTTCCCATTCCAAGTATTGGCTGACGTGTAAACAGGCCGGGCGGGGATTGGGGATTTAGGGAAAATCCTCAGGGTACACCAGGACAAGAGTGGGATTTCTAGTCAATCATATATGGGAGCCTCGTCAAGGGTATAGTAGTAATACTACAGCTTCAAGGTTATGGGATTGCCATGGGGCAGAATCGCAGTCATGGTGCTGTACTACCTGTTCCTGCTATAACCTCGGCCTCAACTATTCAGCTACTGGCCGTCTTCGGCAAGCAAGTTCTGTATGTAAGAGGCCTGCCTCTGCTGGGGAAGCAATTAATTCGCCGAGGCATCCAGCCTCAGGGCGTTCAGATCCCTTTAAAAACCCCCTCTACTCCCCCTTGCAAACACACCTCAGCCTGGCCACCCCCCTCCCCCCCGCCCCCTGCCATGGCGGGTGGCCTAGTCCAGCCCGACCATCCCGCATGAAATTTCAGCCTCGCCCAAGGTTCGAGGCTTTGGCGGTACGCGGCGGGCGCATTTTTCGTTCAAAACGGTGTTTCTGCTAAGTTTTTGGGGGTTT